AATTTATGAAAAAAAGTTTCAAATTTCCAAAAAATGGTTTGAATTTCATTCAAAAGTAATATATTTTTGGAAACAAAAGACGAAAAAAGAATTCTTTTTGTCATAAATTGAGCACAAAATGAAAAAAACAGTTGTTTTCACAAAAATAATTTTCTGTCAATTAAACGAAACACAATTATTGGGACAATGAGTACGAGCGCGACATCTGTTGAGCGAAACACAAAACCAGTGTTTCGTCAGTCAAACACCAGTTGTGGACAATGAGAGACATCTGGTGTTGAAATGCAAAACCAATTGAATTGCGAATCAATCGCCAGATGTCAGGAGTGAAGCCGTCATTGAATTTAACGACAAGTTATAAAACAAGTGATTTAATGATTGAAAGACAATAATTCATTCACTAATCGTCAGTTTCCGCGCTTTCGTCACAACAGATGGCGTGATATCTGTCGGAATGCAGTCCTCTGTCGGCCGAAAGTCTGCGAAGAATGCGATGAATGAATGGTTCGCTGACCGCCAGAAGAGTGGATCAAAGCCACGACTGGTTCTCTCGCGGATCACGTGATTGACGGCCGAAATGCGCGCATAATATCCTCTATTGATTTCGCGAACGCATCGCTAGTATTGGACGCTTTGGTGGCTCTCGTCGTCTCCTTTCGAGTTCGCAATTCGGCCGCAAATGTCAACAAACGAGAGGAAAGTGTTTTGATTGGTCGACAGACGGCGACACTGTGCGACACAAATGACGTCCGGAATTGAGCGCTGAATGAGAAACACTTGTCGTCAAGAGATGGCGGAAGAGGTCTCAGAAGGAGACGAGAGGGCGAACACAGCGCTCGCGCGGACGACACGAGAAATACAAACTTTAGAATAAATGAATGCTTTTTTGAATGAAATCAGAAGAAAAGAAGAAATGGAAACAAGTTTCGAAGGAATTGCAGAAAATTGGAATAAAAACGAAACTTTCGGCCGAAAGATGGAAACACTTGTTGTTTCGACAGAAGAGACGACAGAAGCGCCGAAATCGGGAAACGAGACGACAATTGGAAGAAGAGAAGGAATGAAACGAAAAATAGAAACAATTCTTGTTTTTGACGAAAACTGAAACTCTTTTTGTGTTTTTAAACGTTTTTCTATTGGTTTTGACGCAAAATGAAGACAAAGACAGAGAAGAAGAGAACGAAGACTCGAAAGAAGACATTCCTGAAGAAGCAATGATTGATTTGGAATCGCTTTGGAATCGCGAGACAAGAATTGAGATTCGATTCACTTTTGAATTCTTTATTTCATTGAATTTTTTCGCAATTTTTTGAATCAATTTTGAAAACTTTTTTCCTTTAATTTCGGAAAATATTGAAAAAATACGGAAAAAATTCGAATTCAAAACTCGTTTTCGATTCTTAGATCGAGATTTCAATGTTTGCAAACTTTGCTTCGATTTCCGACTCTTTTCGCCAAAAGGCGTTCAGACGTCACGTGACATCACTGACCACTGCTGACCACTGCTTCTGCGCTTTTGTGGACTCTTCGCGCGATTCCCGTTTGCGGCTCTTCTCGACGCCGATTTCGGNATCACTGACCACTGCTGACCACTGCTTCTGCGCTTTTGTGGACTCTTCGCGCGATTCCCGTTTGCGGCTCTTCTCGACGCCGATTTCGGCCTTCAAATAAGTCGCGCGCAGAACGAGTTCTCGTTTCGGGAAAACACTGTTTTGTTTCCGAACTTCGCTTCCATTCGGCGCTCATTGACGTCACGAACACGACTCTCGACGACACGCGCGCGCCGACTCACTCTCGGCGCGTGTTTTCCGCGTGTTCGGCGCAGACTCACGCGCGAGCCGTGAGTTCTCTTCTGAATTGAATTCGAGTTTCCATTCAGTGATCGAACGCAAGACTCGAAGTCAATGCGTGTCACGTGATTCGCGCCCTCCAATCACGGCGCGCAATGGCATCGCTGTCGCTCTGACTCTCGCGGCAACAATGGCTTTGGAAGAAAACCGATTTATTATTTGTTTTTCGATTTCCAGAAATTGGAGAAAACTGTTCGAAAAAAAGACCAAAAGCGCGCTCTGTCCGCCGTTCGCGGCATGCGCGTTCTCTGCATTCTCGTCGGTCACGTCTATTTGATGCAATTCTTCCACATCTTTCACGTGATGCGCCGTCTGGTGGCAGAGATGCCGAGACTCGCGCAAATCCAATGTCAACCCTTGAAAATGGGTTCTTTCCTTCAAGTGGACACTTTCCTCTTCCTCGGGTAATTCCCTTTCCCGCAAATCCCGTTCTCATCTTCTCTCCCGACAGCGGAGTGACCGCCGCTTACGTCACTCTCGACGTGACGTCACGCACGAAGAGGCGCTTCGATTGGTTCGCGTTCCTGGCGTTGCGATGGTTGCGCTACACGCCGTGTGGGCTCGTGCTGTTCTACCTGCTGCTGCCGCTGTTCGCCGCTGTTCCATTTCCCAGCAACAAATCCAACAAATGTATATTCCGTGCGAACAATACTTTTACCGCAATCTTCTCTATTACAACAATTTCTTCGATTCCGACGGAAATGTAAATCCGATTCACAACTCTCACAACAATTAACTCTCTGTCAGTGCGCGGCATTCTGTGAACGCAAAGACATCCGCGAGCGTCTGCGCTTCTTCGGGTTTCGGCCACAAATCGCAAGCCTTCAAAGTCATAGATCTGGCGGTCATTCGTTTTCAACACAAGCAGAACGCGATTCCCGTGAACGCGGCCGTCAGATGGCGGCACCAACAGAAGCGCCGCGCGGACCAATCAGATGGTTCGCACTGCTTCTGGACTCTCGCGACACGCATTGCTGGACGAGAGCGAAGAGTGACGTCACGTAAACAATAAAACATTTATTAGAAAATCAGGGCAACAGCGCTTGTGTCGCGCGCTCCAACTCCCAGTTGTTGGACGAGAGCGCGACGAGCGCCTTGTGTTCGTCGATGCGCATCACTTCCTGCAGGCGGCGGATCTTCGCGTCGAAGTCCTGACAATGGCCTCTGTCCTCCCCCCTCCTTCCCGACGCGTACATGTACGTCCAGTGCCGCGCCGTCTGCCTAAAGAGCTCCGGGTTCTCCTTGTACTGCTTGGCCACCACCGCGTCCTGCGGGTCGTCCGCCTCCGCCGCTGCAAAGAGTGTTAGACACAGAGACAGACAGTCACGTGGAATTGAATAGTACCGGCGAGGAGCGCCTGCAGTGACAGCAGGACAGTCCTGATGGTCATGGCGGCCGCCCACTGGTCCTTGAGGATGTCCAGACAGATGGCGCCCGTGACGGAGGAGATGTTGGGGTGCCACACTTTCGTCACGAAACGCACTTTGGGCGGGTTGAAGGGGTACGTCTCGGGCACTGCAACAACAATAGTGAAAGTGACGCAACTCTGACGCAACGCGAGCTCACCCTTGATCTCGAGGTGGAAGAGGCCGCCCTCGTAGGGGGTGTCGGGCGGACCCGTGATGCGCCCCCTCAGGTCCAGCAGCGAGTTGTTGACCAGTTCGATGGCGATCAGGGATTTGGCCACCTCTTCGCTTCGCACCACTTCCTGGAACTCGCGCTGAATCCGTTGCGACGCTATGTTTGCCATCTTTGCGGCCGAACAGCGATTCACTGTTTACTCAAACGCTCACGAATTACGTC